TAGTCCCTCACCAGGGCTGTTCTAAGTTATACCTCCTGGGGCTCTAAATCGACAGAGTACATCTGCATTAGGGAAGCCTGCCTCAGACTAATTTTGAGGCTTTCCTGCAGTATAGATGTGTTATTTTGAACTAAGCTGTTTTGGAATAACTATTCTGGGATAGATTCTTTCGAAATAAACGTGCCATGTAGACACAGCACCAGTGAACCTGTCCTGGAAATGTTTCAGAGAAAACTGAGGCAAAATTCTACCCAAGCATTCAAGGAGACATATAAAGACACGTGATGTAAGATTCTTATCTTTTTTGCTAGAATCTTTCTGGACACATGGGCTGAAAGTATAAAAGAGGAGATTGTGACATCACAACCTTGTCTTCAGTCCTGCTCCATGTCTCTGGCTTGTGATTTCTAACAACAAGGAAACTTGCTCCAACCCCCAGCCCGGAGCTTGTACTACCTCCTGTCCCCTAACCCCCACCTCCCCAAAACCTCCCCAAAACTGGTGCCCCCACTCCAAACTCCTACTCAGAGCTGTACCCCCAGCCAGAGCCCTTACAGCCCAATCTTGTCCTAGCCCTGAGCCCCCTCCCACACTTAGAACTCTTTGGCCCTGCTCCCACGATACAAATTTTGTCATGTGCACCAGTATGATGAGCCACACTGATGCACATAAGAAAATTAATTCTGCTCAGGGCTGGAAAATATTAAAGGGAACACTGCTGATGACCCCCAATCTTTTGGGTAATCCAAGAGACTTTCTGCAAGCTAGCAGACATACCATCACTGAACAATCTCCTGAACGACAGACTCCAAAATCAATTGTAAGATATAGGATTTCTTTAACAATTTAATAACTCTCTTCTTTAGTTCATAAATCTTTAGTTACTAAAGGAATTGGCTGCAGCATGATGTTTGAGATCTATATATTGACCTTTTCATTACCAGTATTGAATTTATCAACATTAATTCCTCGATGTGATAATGCCAGGGTGTATTTGTATGGGAAAGAAAGAAAAAGAGCTTGAATAAAAATCTCGAAATTCTATAACCCTTTGTATTAGGTGCCTTCTGCAAATGAGATAAGAAATAGTTATTTATCCCCATTTTTGTGGAAGAGGAAACTAAGGCAAGGAACAATTATGTCATTTGTGAAGGTCACCAATGAAGTCTGTGACAGAGATGGGCACAGGATTCTGATAGTACAGTGTCCTAACTTCCAACCAAGGTTTTCTGGCTGATTGACAAAATATCCATTTGGTCTATGAAAACACAAAACAAAAGCATGAAATCACTATCACTGCATGTAGAAGTGTTCTTCGTGGGAGAGAGACACATCATGCTTTTGCAAGAGTCCCGGGACATCACAGAGTGAGAGCCTTATTCCAAAGTATTTCAGTATGGAGCTACTCTGTTTGCAGGTCACTTGAAACATGCAATGTGCTGTATTTCAGTAACTTGGGGTGCATCTAGACTGGCAAGATTTTGCACAAAAGCAGCTGCTTTTGTGCAAAAACTTGCCAACTGTCTACACTGGCCTCTTGAATTTGCGCAAGAGCACTGACTTTGTAATGTAGAAAATCAGTGCTTCTTGCGCAAATACTTTCCCACTCCCGCTCGGGAATTAGCCCTGTTGTGCAAGAATACTTGCACAAGAGGGCCAGTGTAGACAGGGAAGAACTATTTTATGCAAAAAAGCCCCGATGGCTAAAATGGCGATCGGGGCTTTCTTGCGCAAAATCACGTCTAGACTGGCCATGGAGGCACTTTTTGCGCAAAAGCATCCATGCCAATCTAGACGCACTTTTGTGGAAATACTTTTAACGGAAAAACTTTTCCGTTAAAAGTATTTCCGCAAAATCATGCCAGTCTAGACACAGCCTTGTAGTACACACTTAACGATGAGAATAGGTCATATGAATAAACAGATAGATACCAACTTTATTAGGGTTCTTGATCCTTGTTTAGGGGCCAAAGCTACAAATAGCAATAATCTGTTCTTTTGACATGTGTCAAATGAATTATTATGAATTATTTATGGCAATAATTCATAGTATACCCCAAAATATTCTGTAATGGAGTCTGATCCTGCAAGTACTTACATGTCCCTAACTTTCTATATGAAAAAAGCGTTATTCCCCCGCTCCCTCCCCACTAAGGGTTTGCAGTACCGGGCTTCTATTTTGCCCAGGCCTAACAGCAGAAAGGAGAGGGCAAATGGGAGCAGCTGCTCTGGGGTCCAGTGTCTTAAAAGGGCCTGCAGCTGCCACCACTGCTTGTGCAGCAAAAACAGCAGCCAGAGCCACAGGCACTGCTAAAGAGCTACCTGGGGGAGACTAACCTGCGCCACCCCTTCCACCTGAGGCCTCGCCTATTCTGGGGGGCTGGCGTTGCCCCCTCCTGCCCAGGGTCCAGTGAAGTCTGTTGGCTGCCCTGATTTAGCGTAACCAATTGTCTTACATGATGCATTCACTTGGACTTGGGGTTGCCAGGTGTTCGGTTTTGAACGGACAGTGCAGTGTTTGAGCTTTCTGTTCGGGAAGCAAATTGAGAAAATAGAAACATCCGGTATTTTCTAAATAGATTGTAATGTAGATTGTGATGTAATGGCAAGAGTGTCCGGTATTTTTGTTGAAACCATTTGGCAACCCTACTTGGGCTTGATCCAACTTACTGAAATATTCTTTTTGATTCCACTGGAACCTGAACTGCATCCTCGATGTTTTCACAATCAAACGCTTTGCTGAGGAGTGGGGCAAGAACTCACTCGATACCATCTCTGAAATAGTTATGAAAGATGCATTTCCTTTCAGGTGATCAATAAAGAGAAATATCAGTTTGGGTGTAAACAATGCACACAAAGAGGAATACAGTCTGATATTCTCAACATGTTTTATTTTTTTCAAATTGTAGAGACACCAAGAATTCCACACACAAGCATATATCATTAAAAACAAAACAAAACAAAAATATGACAAGCAGCCAATTAGTAGAAAGAGAGAAGAGTCTTGGGGCATCTTTGTTGTGTATTTACACATGAAAAGGGTTGCACAAAGATGAGTAGGAACTATTCAGTCAACAAAGCAGTTTTCAGGGAGCTAAAAATGTTCCCTTATCCCTTTTTAAGATCAATTACAATATTTCCTAATGCAATGTAAAGGTATTATTACTGTACAGAGTACTTTTTGTAATTTGTTAAATTTAATAGTTTCTATTGTTTAAGAAAAACACCCAAAATATCCAGAGGGGTTTTTTTTTAAACAAAGTATATACTTTGAGCCAGTTTTGTTTAATCTTTTGTGTCCCGAGGCATCGTTTCCTTTCTTTCACTCCAGCTATTCACAAGATGCCATTTTTAATTTTTTTTAAAAAAGCTATTCATATAGAGCAGTGGTTTTCAAGCTATGGGTTGTGACTCAGGCCTGGGGGGGGTGGAATGTTGGGCATTGGGGGTCAGGTGACCTGCAGGGGTGCTAAAGCAGCTACTGATCTGTCCTGCACCGCACACTGTGCAGCAGGCCCAGCTCCTAGGTGAGGGGAGGGGGAAGAGAGAGTGCACAGGGCTCCATGCACAGCCTCTGCCCCCCGCACTAGCTCTGCACTCCCATTGGCTGGGAACCTGCTGCTGGCTGCTTCTGGGGTGTATCATGGTCTGCAGTGCTAGGAGAGGCAGGAAGCCTTAGCACCCCTCCTCTGCAATGCTGATCCGGGAGCCACTCAAGATAAGCCCCTCCTGCCCCAGCCCTGGCAACACCCCACCC